GCACACCGGACCTCTCGGCTCCACACCTACAAAACAAAGATAGCAAAACCACAGCAACAAAAATGCATAATACTGCATAATAATAATGACTTAAGCCTTGCTGAAAACCATACCCATTTACCTATACAAATATATACACAACCGTACCCCTACCTACATATCCAAACACTTTCATATACATACTTACATACAAATACATACATACCCATACATATACATGCCCATATACATGCATGCACACATACATACACACACAAACATGCACAAACAAAATATTTAGGTCTGCAATTAGTGGATTTGCGCTTTTGCGCAGGGGTTCTCAAACCTTTTGGGTCTGAGGACCCCTTACAAGTGTGAAAGGTTTCCAGGGACCCCCTCATAAACCCCATGCTGTTTTAGAAATAATTTACTGTCATTTTAACCCCTAAAAATTATGAGAATATTATGCTTTTGTTTGGTTTAGTATGTTTGTTTTACTAGTGTATTGTTCCTCATGTTAGTTTTTCAACTAAAATCCAAAATAAACATTTATTGAAAATTTTTGAGGACCCCCAAGATAGGGCTCATGGACCCCTGGGGTTCTTGGGACCCCAGTTTGAGAACCTCTGCTTTAGCGGGCTGGTGCCCACCACTGCATGTAATATTAATGAGTCTTGTGAAAAATCTGCTTAATGGAAAAGTTTAAAACTCTTCTGTCAGAAGGCACTAATAAGAMCAAGTCAACAGTGACGTCTTTGTAAGTAAACATGCCTGATGCAACGTGACTGAATGCAACTTCTCACCCTGCTGTTGCATATTGTTTGACTGCGTGAAGCTTTTTATTATTAAAACCTTGTGTGTCACATCTGTTTTGCTGTTAATCAGGCCAATTTATTTGTGCAGCTGCTGTTCTTGGCAAATTAAATCCATGCTGATTCCAATTAGACTTTGGTCTGTTCTGCCGGTGTCTGGCCTGACCTCATCATCTGTCTCCGTCTTGTATCTGATGATAAGTGTCACCGCATAAATTAGCATCTATAATGCGATACATTGGGACAGACACGTAGAAGGTATGTGGGACAACAAGTAGATGACGAAAGAAAAAAACAACATGTTTTCTGAAGTCTGGCCTGTCAATCAAGCTGTGTGTTTGGCAATAGAAATAGAAGCAGCACAGACATCACCTCTGTGCCCCTGATGAAAGTCGTCTCTCATACTTATGACTCAGAGAAAAACTCTTTTTGTTTATTATGCTCCACCTTTAAATGTTCATTTTATGTATCATTTTAACTATGATGACAAAGATGTTTTTAGCCTCAGAGTTTATCTTAGATCCCCATGAAGTCTGAAAATCAGGAAGGAACAATCAGCTGGCGGGCAGCAATTATGACTGCAGAAGACAGTGAAAGCACAAAGTGCAACACAATCTAATAAATGGATTTTAGGTATTAAAATATTCGGCATAAGGCACGGTCTGTAAATATTACTAATTGTATTATTTTGGTTTGATCCTGCTGCTCTTGTTTTCTGCTCTCCTGTCCCACCTGATCTTGATTGCTAATTATCACACCTGCCTTCCTTTAATCATTTATTCCCTCAGTATATATTTTAGCTGCTTTTGTTTATCCTATTTCAAGTTATTGTTGTTTACTTTGGCCTTGTTTTTTGGTGCTMTTTTGAAGTAAAGTGTCACAAGCCACCTTAAGAATACTTGCAAAAAGGTGGCCAGATGGKGCCCGTTAATTGTGAGTTGCACACCAAAACTTAAAGCCATAACAATGTGCAGGAGTATTTTTATGTAGTTGTCATATAAGCTATTAGAAAAGCACAGAACTGCTGATACATAGAATTTGTTTGTTTACCTTCTTTAATTTGTGACAATTTTTAAACTATGAGAGAGTAAAAAATGAGGAGAGGCTAAGTTGAAGAGAAAACCAAGAAATCAAATAGTGCAAATTATGCTCACACTGCAAATAAATAAATAAATAAATAAATAAATAAATAAATGTAATACAGATAGGATCCTAAAAATGTATGAAACACATCTATGCTTGTCTTCTTATTTACATATTTAAAATGAAGACCCTTTTGTGCNAACACATCTATGCTTGTCTTCTTATTTACATATTTAAAATGAAGACCCTTTTGTGCTGTATGGTCTGGTCCATCCACCTTTCAGAAAGAAAATAAATCTGAAAAAAGCTAAAACCTGAATTTAAGGTTTTTAATTAAACAAAAGTGAAAAATGTGCATTTTAATGTGCCAAAAAAGGTTAATTGAAACACAGATGAGAGGGAGCAGACTTCTTAAACAGGTTCCATTTATTATCAGGCAGCAAATTTTACCTGACTTAATCTGTCTTTTGACACTTTGCTGGATAAGATATTTAGCCTTAATGGAAAACTGGAATAAATCAGTTGTGTTATGGACAAAGGGTGTCCAGCTTTTTCAAATRAAGTGTTTTTTTTTTCTTTTTTTATGTGAATAATTTCCTCTGTATTATTTTGCATTCAGTTTTATTTTTTTTATTTTTGTATTGAATAAGCTGTATGTCCTCCTGTTTTACACATATTATTGAACTGGTTTTGCATAACCTGCCATTAAAACCAAAGCTCTCATTGGTATTGATCTATATTTAGTTTGACCATTTGTGGGCAATTGCACTAACATGAACCTCTGGTGTAAAAGAAAACACAAGATCACAGAGATAATTTGTGTAAATTATGCAGCTGCAGATTTTTTTTTTACTATTTTTTTAGCTTCTGAGAACACAATGTTCCTATAAGCAAATTAATTCTTAAAAAACATTGTAGAATATTGTGAAAGGAGAACAGTTACTTTCTTCACTTTGACATAATATAGCAATACAAATGTAACAGTTATTGATTAAAAAGTAATTTAAAGCCTCTTTTCAGGAACAACCCCTGTACATGGAGGAACTAACAAGCCATAAAAGAGATTAGCAACCTAATTATGGAAAGGACTTTTCCATTTTCTTAAAGGGAGGAAGTTTACTTTATTCTAAGRCATGCATAAAATGCGTCTTCGCTAAATTATTATGGTTACATATTATAGTATATTATGTTATGTGTCTTAAGTGTCCTACAGTGTTTGGTTCAGAAATAACCTGTGGTATATTTTAACAGCCCCAATTTGGAAACGTTGTGCCATTAAAAATGACCCATAGTTAAATGGGCCACTTTAAACTCCTACATCTGTAGGTCGTATTCAAGGTTAAAAACAAACAAAGGTGAGGGTCGCATTCTTAGTTTATTATATTAGAGCAGGTGTCTGCAACCCGTGGC